CCTTGCCTTTGGACCTGCAGGCTCGTCCATCGTGCTGACAGCCCCAGACAGCCATCTGCTGGGCAACGGCATCACAAACCAACCTCGAGCAGCACTTACAACGAGGATGACATGCTTCAGTTCTCCCTAGCTTCCGGTGAGATGAGGAGCTCAACGGGATGCATTTGACAGGGCAGCTGGAACAGGCAGTGTTAAACATCGGTGTCTATAATTTTAAGAGAGGAGGTGCAGAGCCTGTGCATGTCTGTCCCTCCCATGAAACGTCAATGTTTCTGGAACACCCAGTAAAAGGGAAGGAAAAAATTCAGCTTTCTAACACTTCTTAAACCTCAAAGTTGCTTCTAAGCATCACAGCTGAAGCACTGAAGTCAGAAAAGTGGCCAGAGCAGATGGGAAACCAAAGAAGTACGAGATAGCCTTTGGTGGTCAGGAAGCACAGAGCCATAAAAGCAGACCTGGTCCTCTTGAAACTAGGTTGAATTTAGCCTCAGTGAACCTAGAGTCGTGTTTAAAACCACTTGAGAGGTTAATGTCCTTTAATAACCACTTCTCCGAACCAGTATTAACTGTGTTCGTGATTTAAGTATTTCATTCATCCATAGCTGCAGTGACTTCGAAAAGCAGGAGCAGCAGCAGGTTACCAAGCAGCGAGGAATGGGGCAGGTCCGCGGTGGGTAAGGCAGCAGAGAGAACATGGAGGCAGCTCCAAGCAACTGGGATTTTTTTTCCCACATCAGGGGCTACCTCACTGGTTTCACACCCCCACCCTGTAAAACACAAGAGGTGGGCTCTGAGAAAGGCAGGTTGCCTTCTGGTCTTTCCAAAAAATTGGGAAGGAAAGTGGGACTCTAGGCTTCTGCAGCACTTTTGGGTGGAAGGGTTTCAGGGCTGACCCTGCCTGGGGAAAGCCAATGTGAAGCCTGTGTCCTTACGGTACAGACAAACAGACTACGCCAGACCAAGGACAAACTCTCAGCCTCCTTTCCTGTGGGCCATCAGGACAGAAGCTTTCCCCAAGCTCCCCTCTATCTGTGTCCAGGCTTCTCCCTGGAAAACATAAATGCTTTCCACAAGGAAAATGCGTTATTTAGTGTCTGGCTTCATATTTAAAAAAGTTGTGTTTGCACCACAGCGCCTAACAAGACTTGTATGACAGACATGCGAGGTGCAGAACACTCACTTCAACGGCTCATGTCAGGAATCCAAAAGCTAAAAGGCAAGAAGTTAAGAATTAAAGACAGTGCAGCACAACTTATTTCCCAATCACATCTCAAAATTAAGAGCTGGAAAACTTTTGCAAAACTAACCATGCACAATCATGCAAAAAGTAAATGAACCAAAGCACACATTCTAGCCAAGCAGCACCTAGTTTTATTGAGTTCCAATAACACTGCATCAAAACCAAAAGAAATTAAAGTTGCTTTTGCTTCTTAGCAATACTCATTTCTCAAATGAAAGTGTGATTATGTGTAATAAGATTAAGAGAAAACCAAGGAATAGGAGCAAGAATAAAGTTAGACAAGACTGCAGAGCCAGTGTCCCCTTCCTGGATCCCCCTCATGTCAGAGAAATTGAGTTCTTGGAAGCACTGTTAAATTTTCTCAGTCAATGTCAGGGATCGAAGCCCAGGACACAGCATCTGATGAATCAAATATATCGTGGGTTGCTACAAACCATGCTGTACTTTCGAGATCACATTTGGGTTATCTTCAGCGGGAAAGACAGAAAAGGATTTCAATGAAAAGTTCAGTTTAATGAAACACATTTTCCCACTGGCTGCTCCAGTAAAGCTTAGCACAAATGTCAAGCGCAATTCATTTTCCTGTTGCAGTGCCCTACTGTGGACGGCCCAGAGTCATGAACATACACCAATATGGTTAAAAGATCATGCTCCCTTTATTACAAACAGCACACAGGTTATATAGCGGAATGTGGCGTGACACGACTACATACTACAATTGGCTTGCTTAGCATAAACACACTCTCGTGGGCTATAGTGATAGGACAGCGCTGGCAGACCACAGGTAATAAGCTCATCCCTTCAGTCTCCTCATTGCGGTCATCGGAGAGGCATCCAGGAGGCGTGCATCTTGGCAGGCTATCAGTCTACGTTTCCTTTTAAGGCCATTGAGATAACTTGAAGGACAAAAGTAATCTAGTTGGTAACCTTGTGCTCTGGGGCCCAAACAGGGATTGTCCATACCCGAGAGAATATTATGGCCAGTCTCGGAAAGGAATTCCTCCACATTTTCCCTCCTAGTTCCACAGAAAAGATCAGTGTGCAAGATCCCATGTGGTACCTACAATACCCCGCAACCCGCTGAAACAGCCTCCCCTGCTTAGTTCTGCGTTTGCTGCGTTACATGCATGTGAGACCAAAAGCACTGCCAACATAGAAATCGCCACAACTGAAAAACGACAAGAGATGAGACTGCTATCTGATATTGCTTGTAGGCACCAGTATGTGCAGCTGCTTAGGCCCTGAGAGTTCAGTACACACTGCCAAACAATTATTTTAAGGAAGTTTTTCAGCATTAATAGCTACATGTTTCTTCAGTAAATAAAGAATTACGTTTTAAGAAGTGTCTCCGTCTTCCATGAGGAAGTACTTAAGGTCGTGTGTTTAACAGTGACAGCTGTCTGTGAACAGCATTATTGCTGTGGTACACTGACTCAGAAGACAGGTGTATCACCTCGAACTCCTCATCAACTCTGTTTCAGAGCTACGGCTTACATTTCTGCACGGCACATAGCATCACCTAAAGAATGTGAGGAAGGCAAAAAGGTATTAGGCAAGCAATAATTCCTGAAACTTGAAGTGATCATTCATTTATTCCTTTGAGGCAGACTTGGCACTGTCTTCCTCTCCTCTTTAATTTCCAAAGACTTCCTAGTGTTCATAGACCTGGTGCAATCCAGTTAAGAAACTTCATAGCAACTTCAAAACCAAGAAAACAAGCCTAGAAAAGAGAGAACATACAGAACAAATGAGGATTCTAAAAACATATTCCAAGCAAGGTTTTTGAAATGCAGCACTATAAACACCTGACGTAGCTGATGTAGAAGGAGAAAGAGAACAAAAAAAGGTCTTGGACCAGAGGCAAGAATTCTATGCTATCCCTCTACACAAAGGCAGAACTTCTATTCCGTTAGGCTCCTCCCTTATCGAAGGGGAAGCCAGTCCAAACTTATCCACACATTTCTGTCTTCTACTGGTGGATGTACAACCAGTACAGAAAGACTATCAGAGAAAGTCAACTAAGGGCTTTCATGCGAAGCTTTGAAGCAAAGTTTACTTGGTGTTCCTCCTAGATTAAGGCACATTTTTAGGACCTGGACACCAACAGTCAAAACCACCTGCAGTGACAAGAATCTCACTGAAACGGTACAACAGTAAGCAGCCAGTCATCTCCTCTACAGGCTGCGAACATCCACTGGGAGTGGTCAGGTCCCCAAAACCCATCTGGAATCACAGTTTACTTACCGCATTAGCCGGAAATGCCCTGATCATTACAGCTGTGAAGCCCTTATACAGAGATGCAACTCCTTCCTCTCTGAGGAGTTCTCTCAGCACATCTCTAAAGCCATTTGGGTATTTTCCTGAAGGAGCTGAAAGGGATACAAAACACATTAGCTAAGATGTGTGGCACTTACAAGTGCTGAAGGATGTGACATATATAACAAGTGTCCTGGTTTCGGCTGGGACAGAGTTAGTTTTCTTTTTAGCAGCTAGAATAGTGCTGTGTTTTGGATTTAGGATGGAATTTGTTATGAAAAGAATATTGATAGCGCACTGATGTTTATAGTTCCTAAGACATAAAGGACTTTTCAGCTTTGCCAGTGTGCAGGAGCACAGCAGGCTGAAGGGGAGCATGGCCAGGACAAGGGGCCAAAACTCCCCTTGTGATTTGAACTTACATTTAGGATTGAGTGTTCAAACCGGCCAGTGGAATGTTCCATACCATGCAACGTCATGCCCAGTATATAGATCAGGGTTGACAAGGAAGTTGTAATCTCTCTCTCTTTTGAAGGGCTCTCTCAGTCTTTTCTCGAACTCTCAGATTTCTCTCTCGCTCACTCTTTTTTCCAGGCCTCTCACTCGTCCAGGATTGCGGTGTCAGGACTTACTTGTTTCGGGATTGCTTACCAGGATGGGACGGGAATTTGTCACCAGGTGGTCATCAAATATATTGTGCATCACTTGTTTCTACGTATTATTATCTTTATATATATATGCATATATTATTTTATAATTGATTTTAATTTATTATTATATTCTTATCTCAACCCACAGACTCCTTCCCTTTTCCCCTTTAATTCACTTCTCCATTCCCCTGGGAGTGGAGGAGAGTGAGTGAGCAGCTGTGTGGTGTTTAGTTGCCGTCTGTGTCAAACCACAACACCAGGATTTTCCTATTTCTATACCATCCAGGTGACACCAGAATCTAAGCATTGCTTAAGCTATGTTGTGACAACATCTGCTTAGGAAAATTATCTGTTTCAGTCAAAAGCAAGAAAACAAAATGGACACCTTACTAAAGGCTCAGCAACAGAAGGTAGGTGCTCACCATCACCACAAAGAATTTACATTGTTGAGGGGCAGGGAAGAAGAGAATAACTTTTGTCAGGGTTGGAAGTCTGAGCTGTTACTTACACTGCTGACCACAGCTCTCCCAAGAGCTGCAATTAGGAGATAGGAAGGTCAGATATAAAAATTGATGAAGCCAGTTTATAAGAAACAGAAAACAATCCTATCACATGCCCCAGCCAAGAACAGCAACAGACTTCCAGTGAAAAGCACAGGCTGTTATAATGCTGATGTTACACAGATTTGCTGGGGTGTTTTTAAAAAGTTCTTCTATTCAAAGAACAAGTCTTCCATCTCCTGACACTTCTCTGGGGTGTACTGCCTCTGCCAGCCCTCTGAACAAGCACTCCACAAACCAGCCCAGTTAAACAGAACCACCATTAACCCACATCATCTATACAGCAGCATCGGGGACTGGCTCAGTGGAACAAGGATGCAAAGCTGTAATGTACTTCACACTCAGCCCTAGGTACGGTATCAAACAATCACAGCAGCCATTATTCAGAGAAAGAGAAAACAAGTCTCTTGCACTAGATTATCATGATCTGTGACTCAATAAAAATGGTTACTGTCCAGTGGAGACCTGACTCTACAAACAGAGACTATGGGGAGCCTTAACAAAAACTTTCAACTAGGACTCCCAGAGAAACCAATGAAAAACCTGTCAAACTTTGCTGAAACGCAAAGCCTGGGGCCATCCTCACTATAATTAGGCCACAGATACTTCAGAGCAGAGCTCCTAGTCTAAAAGCAATGCTCTCAGCAAGGCACACTCAGTTACTGAGAATTTCAGATAGCACAGGCTACAATTTATACAACTATGTCTGAAGTGAAATAACAAAACCTCTCAAAGAATTACATGTGTAACAAAACAGCCATGACAAGCCTTCTATTATTATGACAACTTTGCTTAAGTTTCACAACAGGTATGTTAAATTGGGATCAGTGTATTAGCAGGGAGGCAGAAACAGAGAAGTGCAGTCTGATTTGCCAAAAATTTGCAAAGAAACCAACTAAAAAGCTAGGAACACACTTGGATTTTTCATGTACTTGTCTCAAGCAGTGCTCAAGACATGCTACCTCCCAGGTGCCATGACAGATGGCATCTTCCATCGCTGCCCAGCCCATTCCCAGGAGCACTGCACTGAGTGTGGCCATGACAAGCAGCACGCAACTCACCAGTCTGGAAACGGGATTTCAGCACATCTGGTGGAATGGCAACTGCCCAGTTGAAGATCCCAGCCAGGCCTCCAGCCAAGAGGATCCTGGGCGCACTGAGGTCACTCACACTGGCAGGATTGGGGTGGGGTGGGAGAAAAATGAAAACAAATAAAGGGAAAAAAAAAAAAGTAAAAATTCAAGATTTCCAAGAATCAGAGCCCTGTGGGCAAAAATATACTAATTCCACCCTACAGGTTCAAATCTTTTCATTCAGCAGCACACGCACAGACGCTCTGGGAAAAAAAAAAACAACAACCAACCAAAAAACCCAGCAACAAAAACCCTCAGCTCTTTGTGCACACACAGGGTGAAAGTGAAGAGACCTACTTCAAGTATTCCTTACTTGGCTAATAAGATCCAAGACTAGAATCTGAGAGAAACTCAGAATACTACTTTAATTGTCAGTTAACTCCAGACCAAAACAGCTCAACTCACAAGATGAGCAACTTTTTTTTTTTTTAAGATTTGTTTTGATGATACTGCTCTATATCTCTTCTTAACTGGGGAGATGAATCAGCAACGTCTGAGAAATCCAGAAAATGATGACTGTGAGATTTCACTAACCAGAATCTGAGAGAAACTCAGAATACTACTTTAATTGTCAGTTAACTCCAGACCAAAACAGCTCAACTCACAAGATGAGCAACTTTTTTTTTTTTTAAGATTTGTTTTGATGATACTGCTCTATATCTCTTCTTAACTGGGGAGATGAATCAGCAACGTCTGAGAAATCCAGAAAATGATGACTGTGAGATTTCACTAACCTCTTTCCACTGGCTGGGACGTCTAGTGGGTAAACAACAAAGACTGTAAGTGGTGGGAAACAAAATGAAGCCTAGAGGCACAGCAGCCTCATGCCAGCTCAGCAACACCACTACATCCAGATTCCTTTTCTGAACCTTCTCAACAAACAAAATAAAACCTTCTATTGCTCTAGACAGGGGAGCTTAAACTTTCCCAGAGAGAAGAGGTGCTAAAGGCAAGAACTGGGAAAATATCTTTTCTCAAGCACTTCTGTCAGCAGCCTTTCAAATCAGACCGTAACCTGTCTGCTGACCGTTCAGCTAATGATAAGACAGCTCTAAGCTTTCTTAATCACTGCATAGCAGATCAGAGCAGTTCAGGAACTTCAAGAGTTTTGCATGCTATTTCTTCTAATGATTCTATTTTGGGTGTTTTTTGCAGTTAATGGGTTTTGGTTTGGGTTTTTCTAAGGCACTCCTGCAGCTCATGCCTAAACCAGCCTCTGGCTAGGGATGCTGCCAGAGTTACATTGCTAGCTGCTACACTTCTATGAGAAGCAGAAGATAGAACAAATTCCTAAACTGAGATATCAAAATACAGAAATTTCAGCTTATCTTTGGAAAACATTGCCTCAGGACAGGGAACAACCTAACGCTTTTCAAAGGAGAAAGTACTGAAACACGTAAAAGATTCAGTGTCTGGTACACTTTGTTGTGTGAGAGGGGTCATGACATCCCCGTCCAAAATAACCCACACTCAAGCAGGTAGAAAGCTTAACTGCTGCAATCACATCATTTAAAGCAGTCAGCATTACACAGCAACAGACACAGACAGTCACAATACTTCTCCCAAGGAAGAGGGAAAGAAAAAAAAAAAGAAAATAAAAAATCCGCCCACTTCTGTATTTTTCTTTTCTTTTTGTTCTCTCTGCTCTTCTAAAGTCTCTCATTCCTCTTGGCTTCTCAGATCTTAATTACTTCCTATATCCCTCTGATCCTTGTCATCTAATCTCTTCCTTCCTCACTGAGAATCTCATGTTTATTTGTCAGTCCCTTTGAGGCATTGGAGTGGCTCTGCAGACTGGAAAAAAAGAAAAAAGAATGATACAGCACCTCCAATTGGCTAAAGGGACAGTGAGATCTATGATACTATGTCAGGGTTCTTATCTTAAAAGTGTCCCACACAGAGCAGCATCAGAATGTCTCCATCCGTTACCTCTCATGAGGGTGAGCACCGTCCCCTTGTACACGCCACGAATCCCAGCTTCGCGGTACAGCTGTTTTGCGCAGTCCAAAGAGCCGCTGTATTTAGTTTCACCTGTAGCTGCCTGGATCTGAAGGATTAAAGTGACAGTTTCCGACTAGTGAAGTTTTCTGGCTGGTGAACAATCATTCAGCTCATTGTTAGAAAGACACACGCACGTTTCCAGAGAGGAAAGAGCACATACTCATTCCACAGGCACTCCTGCATGTGAAACCTCTCTGTCACTTCTTCAAACAGCGCTCTCCCATTTAAGCTGAGGATATGTTTACTGTTCCATGCAGCAGCTAAATTCTCCCTTATTCTTCCCCAGTCTAAGTTTGAAACAACTGAAGTCAGTGAGGTAATTCTACACTTGCACTGACAAAAAGTAACCTTCAAATAGTTCAGTGAAATTCAAATATTTGCGTGTGTATAAAAGCTTCCATGATAATATCATGTCTGTCAGAACTAACACGTGACCACCCATCACCATACCAACGGAGTTCAACATAGTCTGAAATAGCCAAAGTTTCCCATCTCTGCTAAAGATGGTATTTTCCTTTCTTCAGGTGTACAATTTCCAACAATACTTTAAAAACCCTGGAGGAGGTGTAGAGCTGACAGTCACCCAAACTTTAGAAAACTATTTAATGTATTTTGAAATGCATTCCTTAGTTATCTATTGGGAACCTGTCAAGGTAACAGAAAATCTTTACACTAGAAAGAGTCTTATAATCTAGTAGGTTTGCATTTTTTAGAAAAAGTTTCATTCTGAAAAAATGGACTTTTCCATACTTTGAAGTGGACTGAGGCGTCCACCAATGCCTCATATAATGCCACACAGTGTAAGGCCTGTGCTCTGTAAAACGAATAGAGCAATGAATGCTGTATGTACTTATGCTGTCATGGTGAGTTTGTATAATGCTTCTTCGTGACACAGTTGCATTAAATGACAGTTGTCTCAGTCCTGCCAAAAAACAGAACAGAGTAAATACACTAACCAAAGAAGTTCCTGGTATGGAAAGACAAGACCCCTAAGATTAAATTCCCATCACCGCCATCCAATGCCTTACCTGTAAAAGGCACTTGATTCTCTCTCCTGGAGCCATGATTACTGTTGTGAACACTCCTGACAACATGCCAGCAGCAAACAGCTGAGGATATCTGCCCCGAGGAAACAGAAGAGACCCTAACACAACACAGTACAGAGGAAACGAAGGGCAGAAAGACCCCTTGTATCACCAGATTATGCTGTTCCGCACAAGGCTGGCAGTGGAACTAGAAATACATCCACTGCTTTTGATCAGGGCAGAAGTGCCTCAGCAATGCATAATTAGAGCTAAACATTTAAGATCTCTAGGATTCAAAGCCCTGGTTCCCACAGCAACCATAGCTCAGCTCTTCACGTCCATTGTATTTGCTAATATTCTTTGTACTTGCATTTTTCGCTACAGCATTTCCCATTGATTTTTATACTCAACAGTCTCTTCCTCCTCCAGTCTCTCACACTGTTCTCAGCAACTCCAGCTTCTATGCATATTCCTGCTTGTGCAGCCAGGAGCCTCCTTTCTGTAACACCTGAGTCCCTCACTCCTTCGGCCTCTACCATCGTTGAGTCTGTCCTACTGACCTGCCATCATTCCACACATTCCGCACTTGCTTTCATGTTTTTTCAAGTCTCCATGACAGAAATCTCTTCAACAGACTGTGTTTCTCCATCACAAACTTATTTTTACATTCAACATCCTGCTATGTTCTCTAGTAAGATGATCTAATATCTCAATTTAATTGAATTCCACACCTCCCACTTCTCTTCACTTGCCCAAGAGAAGGCATTCTATCCAGGTTTTCCAATTCCTACACCTTTCTTTACTCTTAAATTCCCATTAAAACTTCCAAACCATTCAGACCTCCCTCACCACTCCACGTGCACTTCTTGCTCCATCTAAGCTTTGAGTTTTCTAACTCACTTCGGGATTATTCATCCCCAGAAAAAGACAGAGCAGGTTCCTCAAGTTTCTCTCCATCTCCTTCCTTCCAAAACTTCTCTTAAAAATCAACACGAAGAACCACAGCCATCCTGCCTCTAGACCCACAACCAGGCTGCTAAGAGTCTGACATTTCTTTTTGGGCCTCACATCCCACACACACAGTATCTTATCGTGTAAAGTCTGCACCTAAGACACAACACACTTGGGCACAACAACAGTTCTTCCATCTATTAGTTGACCTTTGTTCTTTCTCTCCCACTGCTCTCCTTGGGAGGAGTTCTGCATAAACACTCAAAAAAATACACTGCCCTGCTCCAGCTTGCTCCTTAAAACTTCCTTTTGGTACGACATGTAAAAAACACAAGGCATTGAGATGATAACGCTCCTGGAAATAAGCCCACAGCCCATTTGTTTCCTTGTATTCTCCACCCCTTATTGTTTCCCTGGTCTTACTCTTCAGCCTTGTCTGCAGGAGGACATTACTGTGGTAAACTGGAGGGTAAGCTAGCAGTGCCTCCCTCCGAGCAACCCGAGCAGATGCAGCTCACTCCGCATCTCACGGCAGCCGCTAGCGCTGTATAGTCAGGTGCACTCACATCACCTGCTCAGCCCCTCTGCAGGCAAGGCTCCAACAGAAACGGCACTTCCCCACCCCTCCACGCTTGGCTCAACACAATCAACTCCTGCCTTCTGACAGAGCTCCCACGTATTGCACAAATAATAGAGTAAAACGTTACTAAGTTACAGCTCCTGTAGAGCAATAAATCACAACTCAGCAAAGAAGTTAAGGGCGTACTTTATGGGTTGGGGGGCTTTCTTCGTGCTTAAGTTAGCTTGCAGAAAGCCATACAAAGTTTTCTTAGCTTCCCATCTCTTTTCCAGAAGGTCAGACAAGCCTGAGAGGACAGCTGCTCATAAACGCCTCGTTTCCGAAATTAATAATAAACCATTTATATGGCGATTATTATATCCTAACGTAAGGACACAGTAAGAGTCACGACTAACAGGGGAAAGAGAATTAGGACTGTGAATGTTGTCAAGACTGCTTGACCATGAATTTATTTCTCCCATAGTTCCTGTTAATAGCGAGACTGTTGGGAGGCAATCATTATATAACTCGCAGGGTACTCATCTAAAACGGAATTGTTCCTTAATGGCTCTTTCTTGCGTAGAAAGGGAATTGCATAGCACCTGCCCACATGCTGTCTGTTTTTAGCCTGTGCTATCAGTCCCACGCTTCCAGAAGCATTAAAACACACAAGTGTTTTATTTTTTAGAACTATATTTATAACCTAGGAGAAGAGACAAATTTACACCACAACTCAATGTGCGACAACACAGCAGGCTGCAAGAGCCCTTTCCAACTGTCTGATTAACTCGGAAACTCACGTCAAAACGTCATCAGGTTTTCTCTGTTGGAGTCTTTTTCCCAAGCCAAATCCAAAGAAGCACACAGCAAACATGGGTGTCACTCCGATAATAGGAGCTGCCATTCCTCTATATAACCCTCGGACTCCCTGCAAGAAACATTATCACAGAATTACTTGGTTTTGCGGAGACTTTGCGTACGTTTCAACTTACTGAGAAGCAAAAGGCTACTATACAGGATAGTGTCAGTCAGACAGTCAAATTAATCAGAGGAATAACAGGGTCTATTGTTCATTTGCAGTTATACATGTTTAGCTGAGGCTCAGAGCCTGTTGCAGAGGAAAGCTGTCCTTCCTGGAAAACACTGGCACCACTTATACTCTTCTGTTCCAGTACTGTTACATCTCAAGTATGAGAAAGTTAAGTTAAAAGCCACCTGAAAAATAGTCCTAATAGATTATGTCAAAAGTCTTCTCTCTCAGATACATACAAAACCGCACATATGCTTCACTAATAAGTCATCAAATGCAGTAGTGTAAAATCCTGACACTGATCCTGAGAATGCTGAACCAAATTAATTCTTTAGATAAAGGAAGATCCAGGGAGACTAACCTGAAATACTTCACTCCCCACACAGACTCAATTTGGAACGAGTTCAAAAGCAAATTATTTTTCTTTCCTTCCCTAAGTCAAAACTTTTTCACCATACAACTTTACGTTCCTCATGTTTCCTTTCATCAGACTACACCCATGGAAAAAATTTAATGCAGACCCCAGCAGCAGCATTTATTTTATTTATCTTGCTTTTGAACTGAACTTCTTCTAATAAAAACGAGAGTTATCTTTTTAGATAAAGGCTAGATCCACAAGTTAAATATTTGCTGGTCCATCTGCCCCTTCATTCCCTTCCAGATAAATCAGTGTATCGCAGTGCGTGTCTGTCCACGTACAGGCACAACTGACTCTGTAATGAAATTTTATCTGGCTGACAAAGATCTAACACTCCTGCTCAACCTTCCCATGAGCAGTGGGAAACAAAAGGCCTTGGCAGAGAGATTTAATAGTTTTCCTTATAGAAGCTGATGAGTACTGAGTAGGAGTAGAGAGGCAGCATTACTTTTGAACTTCACATCACAAGGCTATTATTACGGTTCAGTTCTGACGTCTGTGCTTCAGCAGGGGTGTTAAAAACCACAAGGGATTCAGAGCTAGCAAAGCATTTCAGTGCTTTGTGGCAGAGACTAGGGAAGCAAGATTTACTTTGGTTATATAACGACCTGTTAATACCATAATTAAAACAGATTTCAGATATGAAGCAGATCTTTCATTTAACAGAGAGTTACCTAACGAGATCCAGTGGTTAGAAAATAAGACTTCAGACTAGTAAACAAACAGTTCGGCTATACAGTCATTGTTTCCAAATGGTAAATAGCTGCTGGGAAAACTTATGAAGTAGAAAACTGGCTTCTGCATCACTTAAAATCTTTAAACCAAGGCCACGCACCTTTCTAAAACCAAAATAGACTACAGTTCAATCACATGATATGGCTGATTCAGGAGTGAAAACCACTGTCTACCTTCTTCAGAAGACTGAACAAAACTGCTATTAAAAGAGGTCAATACCCTCTTTTCTCAAAAAAAACAAAAAAAAAAATATTAATTAATGCTCCTCTGCCTTCCCATAGATGGCATAACATACTATAGAAGAAAGTAAAAATACTACTTGTATCAACAGAAGTCATTGCCTATTTTAGGACTTCCAGAGACAACTCCAAATACCAAAGACAGCAGGATTCCACCGACTACAACAACAAAGCCAGAAAACAACTGCCAACATTCACTCCAGTCTATAACTTCAGATATTAATATTACGCTGTTTTGAACCAAAATCATATCTTAACAAAACAGAGACATAAGCACCTGGAGCACGTGGATGCTAAGTATTCCCCAAGTTTTGTAACCTGCTTTAGAATTTTAGTTAGAATCAACTCAAATTGGATAACCAAATAACTGTGTAGTCTCTGGGGGGCAACATTTCCACACAATTCCATTCCTGCAATGTACAGGAACAACTGATGTTTTTGGCAGACATCACAAACGACACGGTACCTCTCCAACGAGAGTCTTTCTGAAGCAGTCGAAGGTCCCAGAATAGAGCAGAGGCTGACCAGGCTGCGGCTTAGGCTGGGTTTGCAGTCTGACCTAGTAAGGTGGGAGAGGAAAGCATTGTTTTATTAAACATTACTGTCTGAAGTTTGGTTCAGAGAACGCCTCTATGTGGCTATTATGGAGCAAGTTTTGTGACTGGACTTTATGGCATTGGTAGAGAGATTAACATCACTTTAGCCCTTTGCAGAAAAGATGAGATTAAATTTTAACGTATTTGATTAACTGCTGGGATGACATCAGGATCATAATCCCACCTCAACACCTGACAAGTGTTTTCCTATCCTACCGTGCTCAGCTTCCTCACACGCTCGGTGCGCAGGCGGATCCTTCGGGACCCTGGTTTGTCCCAACCCCCCGCCCCGAGTTTCTCCCGGCCTCCCT